GAGGGTAAAGTAAAAGGACAGAGGCAGAAAAGCAAGGGACTCGTTACAGGCACATGTGATTTGCATGTTAACTAAAGGAGAGCACTGTGCTTACGAAGACGCATTCAAAAGTCCATTCACACTCGGGCTGCCTTCCATAGATATAAGACCAGAAAAGGTGCTGCGATAGGTTTAGTTGTCTGTTTTACACTTGAGAAGTGTGGCTGGGGACCTAAACTTTCGGCTTTGGCTGAGTAAGCAACAACATTTACCTTTATTAAATCTGCCCATCTGCCCCTGAGAATGGCTAAATTAGATTGTTTACACTTATACAACAGTTCGCTGCTGAACACGAGCTACCTTCTAGGTTATTAAGATACAGACTCCTCTTGTTTGATACAACACGGAGCAGAGAAGCTCCTGAGAAAAAAGTCCTTGAAGCAAACACCTTTTACTGTAATACAAGTTCATATTTAAGAAAGTGTGTACTGTTGGGATTAAATGGGTAGATTTAATTGTGGTTCTATACGATTACGATCATCAAAGAGTGAAGCTAGATCGGTGCCTAGTGTCTGTTACGGACCAAAATATTTCTAAGTTTATGAAATGACTAGTCCGAATCATCGTACAATGGAGCTCCACGGTGAATTTCACCGTCGTTTATCAGTCCAGCACACAGTCGTAGTGGTTCACTCCCAACTCTCTTGCAACATGATTTACAGCCAAAGCAGGCTTGTGACGTGGGGGGAAAAAAGGGATATGATAAATCCATTCTATGCTACCTGCTTGGCACAAAACAGTAGACAGGCACAGTCAAGTGATGAGCTGGTAAACAGGCACAGGCATGTATTTCCCTGAGGGTTTTCTAGAGACTGAAAACAAGCATCAAGAAAAGGCAATATTTTATGGTTATTTATCAAGCAGACACAAGCATCCCTCAGTGTCTGTGATAATGTCGCACTGTCAACGTAAGTACAAAGGAAGATTTTTTTTTCCAAGTTAATTTTAAAAGTCTTCATGGGTGCGTAAAGAAAGATGAGTTCACACTGGCGTACAATCAAATTGCAAGATTTGAAATCCTAAGAGACTAAAGCAAATTCCACCACTTATTGGGCGTGGAAGAGTTCGCTAGTCTTTCACATATAAAGATAAACAACATTCACACTCACTGACCAATTAATCTCCTCCGACATGTTTCCGGACAGCGGTAGGAACTTGGAGTACCCACGCCCAAACGGGAAGAATGTGCAAACTCTCTACATCAGGGGTCACCAACGTGGTTCTAAAAACAGAACTACTCAACAAAAGTTTGTCACCAACGTGGTTCTAAAAACAGAACCACTTAACAAGAGTGTTTTTTGGATTAGTTACCAGTGATGGGTAGTAATGAGTTATAGTACTGGTAATCAGATTAAAGTATAAAGTATGAGTATAGTAAGGGATTACAAATGCAAAAACCAAAATTAGATTACTATTACTTTCCTTCAGGCTGCATTACTGCGTTACTAGTAATGTAACGCTGAACACTGCGTGGGAAGAAAAAATGGTATCGACAGCGAAAACTTCCACATCAAATCTGGGCAAGCGCCTAGTTAGCCAGCCCAGGAATGTGAAACTCCCTGATCTCTCCACTGACATGACCGCTGCAACTATAACATCCAGTTCCACCGGGGAATCTTCAGACGACCCCTCTCCTGCTAAGCAGGTGAAAATAGATTTAAGAGTGACAGGACTTAATGCGGCTGAACAGAAGAAGCTCGTTGCTGGCGACATTGTTGAGGGCATGTTGCCGTTTTCCGCCATTGACACTGAATCATTCCGGCGCATCGATGTTGATTTGTTACATGTTAATGATTTGGAATACAGCTAGGAGAGACTTTGACTTTTTTGTATTTTACTTACATCTATGTAAATGAAGGAGTATAAACACAAAACATTATGTTTTTCTATGTAAATGAAGGAGTATAAACACAAGAAAACATTGTGTTTTTTATACTGGGATATGCAGAAATATAAGTTAACAGAAGAAAGACTTGCTTTCTTTTATTGAAATATGCTGGAATGTGCAGAACAAAAAGGTTTAAATTTTCTTCAAGTCTGAGACTGAATTCAATTAATTATTTTTCTGATACAATGTACATCAATTTTAACGATTGAAACTAATAAATCAAGTTTTGTAAAGAGACAGTTTCGGATGGAATAAGCAGAAAGGGTAGAAATGGCCTGAAAAGTCAATTGCTTTATAGAGTATTAAGGTTGTGCGTGTTTTTGAAATGTAACTAATTACTTTTGGAAAAAGTAATCAGTAAAGTAACCTGATTACTTTCTTGGAAAAGTAATCAATAACTAATTACTTATTCAAAGTCGCTTGACCAACACTGTTAGTTACAATGATAGTCAAATGGCTGCTATTGTTTGTCCCAGAATATTCTGAGATCAACAAACTGGTCATTTTCTTAATAAGGAAGGAGAGCCAATAATTGTTTTGTACAATTTCCATCTTTGCACATTTTTGTTTTCGAATCCCAGCGCTAGCTTCCTGTCCTGCTTTTGCCTCCGTTTGTATTGAAACAGTGTGACACAAAAAACCGTGATGGGCTCAAATATGTTGCATCACCTATCGCAGATGTTAAAACACCAGAAAGCTTGCAGGATCGCAACAGGAGTCGCTAGCATGATCACAGTTGTCACTCACATACTTGTTGTTGACTGCTTCCCCCCAAAGAGTCCATGTTGTGCAGGCAGGATGTTCCACTGGACGCCGCGTATTACACGTTTGAAAATGTGACTTTCATCAGCCCCAGTTGTGATCAAGAGGCACAACTGGGGCTGATGAAATGACTCTCTTCTGAAAGGCTCTGCTGCCGCTTATTTTTATTAGTACATACGCTCATGCTGAAGTTGAAAGGCAAATTAGCCTAAGAATGGCTACATTCAAGTGGATTGCGACGGGGTTGGCAAAATTGGCTCGATAAGAGATGCTGGATTTTCTCGGAAGACTTGAAGCTTTCAGGAAACATGCACATTACGTGGAGTGGTTGTAAGCACCGAACATTTCAACGGAATGAAATTCGGACTTGCCTTAGCTGGAGACTCTTGTGGTCTTACCATCGCAGTTGAGGGAATGCAGTACAAGATGCTTGATTATCACAAACGTTCCTGTTCTGGTATTTTGAGGTATGTTTTTAGTTCTTTGTAAACTGAAAAGTTGAGAGAAAGGCCTTTTTCTTATGTTGCTGTTAAATGACTTTTAGCAAAACATGTGTTGATAATTATCACTTTATACCTAAAGTACTTATATTTGTATACAATTTTAAGCAAAGAACAAATAATTTGTATCATCGCACTTTTAAACTATCACCATATTTATAAGAGAACCCCTTACCTTTTCGTAAGGATACGCTATTTTCATTCAAATAAACACAGCTTTTCGTGTGTGTATACTGTATATGTATATATATTTATAATAATAGGTGGTTTTAATTGGCTTGAGTTTTTTTCTTTCTGTTTGAGACAGTGTCGTTACTGTTACTACGGTAACTATTATACAGATTAGTGCACTAACTGTCTCGCGACAAATTTCACTTTAGCAGTGACACATAGTCCAGGGCTAAATGTTCATCATGAGTTGATTTGTTTTCATTGGTTGATGCTCGTTGCCATGGCTAGTGGGTTTTCGGGATTAATTGTGTATACATTTTTTTTGTTGTTGTTGGTCTTTTTACAAATGACAAAGCCTGATTAATTCCAGGTCACAGCAAACCATGCAACTTGTTCTTGTCTCTCCTTCCAACTTTACAAATGTCGCAAATCCATCCAAAGAGCCAAACAAGGAACAAGGGGGAGGAGATCCTACAGAGAGGGATTAGCAGTCATTAAATGGGATTACGTCGCGTTAGATTAGACTAGATTAAATTTGATTGAACTGTATCATCATTGAAAAAGAAACTAAGGCAGCCGAATGAAACGTAATATCTGCCAACTGATAACTAGTATAGTATGGATAGTTTTTTTTGCAGTACAAAATGCATTGTTTTTATTACGGTATTCAGACTGTGTGGGTGTCAAACTCATTTTGGTTCACGGCACACATACAACCTAATTAGATGTCAAGGTGGACGGACCAGTGCAATCATAACATAATTAGCTATAAATAACAATAAGTCCACGTTTTTCCCCTTTGTTTTAGTGCAATTTGTTTTAATTTGTTTTATGTAAAAGATATTCATTATTAATTATATTTAATGAAATATAACTTTGCAACAAATATCCTGAACATGAAGTGTTTATATCTTTTTTTATTTTTAAATTTATCAAGTAGGCCGGATTCAACACCCTAGTGCGCTGGTTTTGGCACACCGGCTGTATGTTTGACACCCTGGTATAGAGAGTATTCATAGAATGAGTTGTGATTGTGATTTGTAGTGTGTATGTGTGAGGTGGGTTCGGGGATGATTGTGTGTGTGTAGTGATATACTGTATACGCAGATTAGATTAGATGCAAGTACAACGTTAGCTCAAGGCCAAAGGATCGAAAAACAAAGGGCTGCTTTGACCACCTACGCGGTCAGGGCCCACAGGAGAACCACTGTTCTTTCATTTTGACCTTTCATCTTAAAGTTTTGCTCATTGATTCAATCACAGCGCCCGCGCACGTGCAAGTGTAACCCTTATACAAAGAACGATGGTGATTAGCTGAGAGCCATAAATGAACTCATTGCACACGGGATTACTTTTGGTTCTGAACATGAATATAAGCAAGATGAACTTTGATCACATTTACGTTGAACTTTTTAATATATTTACTCATCCAGTCTAACCGCGTTAGTGCTATTTTCTCAAAACCCTCAATTACTGCGAGAGCATTTAAGCATCGGCTCCATGAGGATTCACTTGCACTTCCTCACCAGCTAACTGATATTATCGTCTGATATTAGCATAGTTTTATCTGTAAGAATCGGTTTCGGTTTTTCCGAAAATGAAAACCTGATAACGCAATGCTTGGGTTTCGCCCACATGTGATCTAAAAAGAGTTTTGAAGTGAAAGTGAAATTATGTGTGACACAGCACACCATTGCGAACAATGACATGCGTCCTCTGCCTTTGACCAGTATTTCGGATATCAGTAAAAAGTTACTATCCGATATCCCCAAATACAAATATTAAATTTCACTTTGGACCTATGACAATTCAGTGTTTCTGTCCAGCGTATTTGAATCATCATTCACCACCATATGGTGGCACAAGTTGAAAAGAAAAAGCATCAAACAAACAAATAGCAGTACACTGTTGTATAAAGGCTATAACAGCACTTAGAGCATAGAGCCTCTCTGCATAAACAAAACAAAAAACATGGCGGATATTCTGTAGAATCGTACCTGTCTAATAGAAAAAACAGCCACCTGCTCATCACCCACACTCCTGTGTATTTTCACGTAAGTGTGTTGGTTATCCGTGATAGATTCACTCCATGTTAAGTGAGTCAAGAATGAGGTTTGGATTGTTGCTGTGTTTTCTTGGAGGTCAGTGGTGCAGATGACCTGTCAATTATCTTCAGCCCCTGTGATTTGCCAAAAATAAGTGGAAATATTCCAGGTGGGTACACTTGCACGCAGGCACTTGATTTCAGATGAACACCTCATGAAATTTCATGAACTGAGAAAAAAAAAAAAAAGCATCCTTTGGCCACAGTGTATGAATTATGAAACACATCTGTGGCCTGTGCCAATAGAGATGCTGTAATGACACACTGGCATCTGTAGGTGCAATAACCAAGTGCTATTCAGATGCACTAAACTTTATTGGTAAGTCTCATTAAAATTCTTAATCGTTATGCTGTACTATTTAATAGTAATAATGTATTACATATATACTACAATCAATATAGTTGATGGTTTTTGGAGGTCTTTCAAATCGAGTGGCTTTAATGAATGAAGTAGAGACACGGACAAACACAGTTTGCAAACATAATCAACTTTATTAAAACAACGTGCCTAACAGCATACCTCGAAGTATTCTTTCCACCGCCCGACAACTTCCACAGTCGAGGTCAACAGCTCCCCGCCTCTGCTGTAAACAGTGTTGCCGGGAAACTGCATCCCCCTCCTGAGGCGTCCGACAGTTTGCCAGAATTTCTCCGAGGCCGACCGATAATCTTCCTCCATGGCCTCGCCGAACTTATCACAGACCCACAGAAGTTTTTGCTTTAGTGACCACCTAAGCTGCAGTTTGCTTGGCCTTCCTGTACCCATCAGCTGCCTCAGGAGGCCAACAAGGCTCGATAGGACTCCTTCTTCAGCTTGATGCCATCCCTTACTTGCGGTGTCCTCCAACGAGTTTGGGGATTGTCGCCACAACGGGTACCAGATACCTTACAGCCACAGCTTCGGACAGCCGCATTCACAATGGAAGAGTAGACCATGGTTCACTCGGACTCAATGTCTCTAACCTTTCCCGGGACCTGGTCAAAGCTCTCCCAGAGGTGGGAGCTGAAGGCCTCCCCACAGGGGATTCCGCCAGACGTTCCCAACAGGCCCTCACAATTCGTTTAGGTCTGCCAGGTCTGTGCAGAGGCCAGCTTCTTTCAAGGAGTTGGGTTCCAGACTGTGCGTGGAGGTGAGCCTGACTATATCTACTCAACTTGCCCCCCCCCCCCTTTATCCAGGGATTGGGCTATCGGGGTCCCCGCCTAGAACCACCACCCAAATCATATAGCACCATACCCTTGCGAACCTTCCTGCACGTGGTGGGCCTACTCGAAGGCAGGCCCACATTGCTTCTTTGGGCTGAGCCCCGCCCAGATCCCATGGCAAAGACCTGGCCATCAGGTGCTTGCCTGCGGTGATGCCAATCTGGACAATGTGAGCTGCCTTGTTTTTCTTTTTCTTCTCATCAAGAAAGGGGGTTGTAGAATTATATTTCAATAAATACGCAGATTTTCTTATACACTTCTGTACTTCTTTGCATGAAAAAAGAGGAATAGGTTATTATGTGATGATTTTACTGGTCTGGCCCTATTTGATGGCCAATCTACATTAACGTATCCAACTTATAGTAGTTACAGAGTATCTCTGATGAATACTAACCTAATGTTTTATTATTAAACAGGCAGCTTACTGTACGTTATGGTGTCTCCACTCCTGTAGACCCGAGTTTTTAGCCAGCTTGAAGATGAATTACCAGGCTGCTCTTATCGGCCATGAAAGCAGAGGCATTCATTCTGTCTGAATACGTTTGAAGAATTAGTGCGAGGCTCTTAGACTTGCTTGACATAATGACTTTGAGGACTGCACCAAATAGATATGGACACTGTGCTGTGTTTGCTATTTCGTTAGCACTTGTATGCACTGAATGTTCACGCTTGACATTTGATTGACTCATTCAAGCACCGGTTTATTTTTCTCTGTTTTGAATTTTAACTCCACTGTGAAGTATTTGGGGTGAAAAGCAATACACAATATCATATGGTACAAGAAGCTCTGGGCTGCTTGGACAAAGAAGGGGCTTTGTTTAACAGAGAGCTGAGATTCCCCTTTCTCTCAGGGGCGCTTGTGTGAAACCTGGTCGCCGGTACTGTCAAAGACAACGGCTGATACACACGAGTCCCATGTTGATACTGAGGCCCTGAAGTGGGTCACTGAAAATAACATGCACAGATGTTCGTATGGCTCTGTTGTAAAAAGAAAAATATAATTTAAAAATACCATGAATGAATAGATGGAGTGAACAAGGAAAGGTTTTTTTTTACTTTCTATCAAGTAGGCATGAACATCCCATTGGCTAATGTGATAAAAGTCCAAGTCATTAAATGGCAGGAGGAGGAGGAGGAGAGACACTGGATAGAGGAGAGGTGTTTAGAGCACGAGGAAAGTCCTCTCTCTGTGCAAAGGGTGTCTGCAAGGTGAGTGGGTCTAGGCACATTTACGAGGCAATAATCAAATCTGACACAATCGGTTCTGAACGTGCCAAACCCCTCCACACAACATTAGCTTCTGGCTGGAGACAGCCTTTACAAACCCCACAGACAATGCTACAAAATATGTACAACAAACAACAACTTTTATGATGTATTTTCTTACTTTTATTTACCTTTCAAAAAGTATTACATATGTCACATGTTTTCAACACTGTCAAAAACCCAGTCTATTTGTGCTACCTAGCTACGTGCTAGCTGGAGGGTTAGCGCTGCTTGCTAACAGGCACAAACTGCCAGGTATACACGGATTATTATGTCGTCATTATCAGCCGTAGCACGAGGTGCGTTCGGGTACATTTTTGTTTTGTTTTGGGTTTTTTTGTTGTTGTTGTTGTTTTTTATTATTATTTTTGCTTTTTTTCTAGCCCTAAATTTGAAAACAACTGGCTTATAGAACCCATTGTTGCTTTTAATACAGTTATATATATAAATACTAATAATTTAACCACTGAACCAAATAATGTAAACAATTAAATGTTTACTTCAATGTTAAAATGTTTGTTTTTTTTAAAAAAAAATGTGTATCACATGATTCCTTACACAACACTTGTGTCAGTCCAATATACGCACACTGGTATTATATAGGCTAAAAACCCTGCATTATATCTATATCTATCTCTAGCTATAACCTTCAGGTCTGGTTTAGACATTTGAGCATTGGAATGGAATTGGAGTTCCTTAACAAAGACTGGTGTTTAAATAATAAATGACTCACAGTTAGCCCACTCACTGTAAGTCCATACCTCACGGGCACAACACGCAAGGCGAGTGGAAAGGCATAAGGGATAGGTTGAATCAATGCGCCTTTTTTTTTTTTCACATCCCTGTCTGCTACCATTTGTGATATTTCACACAAAGCCTGGCAGGCTTCAGTCTGAAAATAGGTGTATGGCAACGGGGCATCCTGGGAATAATTGAGAGAAGAAGCCGTGGAAGTGACACAAAGATTAAGCGATTAACGTCCTATAGAAGTAAGAAGCCCGGAGCGCTTGGTGAAATAGGATAGATGCCAGCTGGATACAGTGAATTATACACTCAAGTGCGTGTGTGTGTGTCTGGTGTGGTGTCGGTGTTGGGGCTTTAACTTAAGACCTTCTTTTCTTTAAAGAAGACAAACTGCCCATCTTGGATGAGGTACAAAGTAGGAATGGCTCAATACAAAATTTATTGTCTGGAGAAGAAAAGAAGGTATCAAAGGTATCTGTTATCGAAAAGGTATGTGTTATTGACAGATACACTAGGCCGATATCCAATATGACGATATTGTCCAAAAACTTAATTTCCAATTCCGATATCAATCAATACCGATTTTTCACCCCTGCCCCCGCCCAAAATCCCCCCAAAAAGAGTTTAAAAAATGAGCTGCAATGCTGCCATCTAGTGACTTTCACTTTCATATACAGCTGTTTTTCCCCAAAACTACTTTTAGAGCATACATCATTTTACAAAACCTCAATACCGATTTTTCACCCCTGCCCCCACCCAATTTGAAATACTATTGAGCACCTGGTATGTCAGGCATTGAATTATTGGGTTTTCATTATGGAACGAAAAAAAAACAACAACTCCTACAGATATTACATAATTATGCTAATATCGGATTTCCCTAAGATACAAGTTCCAGTAATGGTATTGATATCAGACAGGAAAAAAGTTCTATTGAGTCATCCCTAGTTATGTTTTTTTTAATTTTTTTGCAAAGAAGCTAACAGTTTATCACCATTGCACTCTCTTAAACTGAAAACACCTTTGTTTTACACTCGTTGGGTTTTCATTATGGAACGAAAAAAAAACAACAACTCCTACAGATATTACATAATTATGCTAATATCAGATTTCCCTAAGATACACCAAGTTCCAGTAATGGTATCGAAATTAGACAGGAAAAAAGTTGAATCATCCCTACATAGCTTTTGATTTTGCGCAAAGAAGCTAACAGTTTATCAGCATTACACTGTCTTAATCTGAAAACACCTCAAAACGGTTTTGTTTTACACTCAAGAAGTACTGCGTTACCTACTGCTCATCCTACTCATGCAAGGAACACAATTCCATGCAGTTTGATACACAACTATAGGACCGTTATCTCTTACAAACCCCTTTCTTTCCTAGTTGCGTTGTTGAATCACCTGCACACAGCCAGTTTTCTGCTGAACTTTACAGATGGCAGGTTCATGGTTGCTAGGAGATTTGTGGCACATTTGCAAAGCCTCAATGTGAAGTGTACATTCCTTTATGCGGAGTAGGGTAGAGCATAGTGTGGATGGGCCTGGGGCCGCCGATAAAAAAGCACTGCAGATGGTCCAAGCAGTGGGTATCCTGGCAGTGGCGCTGCTCGGAATGAAAACACCCACAGAAGCTTTCTCGTGTGGCACTCATGCAGGATAAAGGGCATCCTTCTGGAGAGTCCAAACTGTAACTCACTGTAAACTGTCAGCTGTTGTTAAAAATGAACATTATCAAGTATGCTATCATTTTATTTTCGAGATAGTATTTCTGTGTAATCAGTGATAGCTCGATCTGTCAAATTTTTGAGTTTCAAATTATGCCACGTCTTTGTTGGGTCTCTTAAGCATCCTTTTAATTATTAAGGTTGAAATAAGCACAATATCATATCTTTACGATATGATATCGTAAGGATACCTAACGATCCATGTTTACTGTATGAACAATTTCTATACAACAATATAAAGTAAACGTACATAATAAACACGCATTATTATGTTTGCATGGGTTATACGTCATCTTCAAAGTGTCGCTTTCGTGGTTACGTCGCCATCTCCCAAAAATGTATTTAAAAAGTTTTGCCAATGTGTTAGTGTAGGTGAGCGACGTAGGTACTTATATGCAGAATTTGCGATCCGACTAGCGGCGAAAAATGATTCACATCGCGCCATAGGAATTGAATTCCGACGTAAATCGAGGACTTCTTGCATATACAGTTACGCAGTATAACAACATTTCGCACTCATTAAATACCTAGCGCAAGCAGAGGTAGGAGAAATAAGGAAGTACTGTCCTGTACTTCCCTGCTTCCTACTGCGCTTCTGCATTCTCACTCTATCGAGGAAGCCCTGCTATGCTAACTAGCGGTCACCTATTAATTGTTATGTAGCTTGAATTGTAGCTTGAATCCTCCTCCTGCAAGTCTCTGCGAAATGCATAAACGTAAATGTGAAGTGAAATTTTTTGTACTCAATCAATCAATTCAGATAATTTCTACTTCATATATTTTTATATTTTTTTATTGTATTTCTTTTTCTTAAATTAAATGATTTCATTATTCGTAATAGCTACACCTAGAATATTTTTTTACAATAAATCTTAAAATGCAGCTTTTTTTAAACAGAACCCCCCCTGCCCCATAGCTCAGTACTGTAATATACAAAATCATAGTGGTGTCCATAACTAGTGCAGTGAAGTGTGTGCAAGTGGCACATGGCAATGTGGCACGCCATACGTGCAACTGTCACCCAGCAGCATAGTTTGTGTGTAACCAGAATATGGTGGCACTTTAACAAACAGTAAAAGACTCATGCATGTATCAACAAAAAGAAGACACTATCTATCATACCTTAGTCATCG